AGGTGCAAAAGTGATAAATATTTTAAGCATGACAGTATGGCATGCAATTTCCTCTTTTTTTTTTCCTTCTTCTTTTTATTTAAAAAAAAAATACGCGATTCAAATTAAGGGTGTATTCAGTTGGGATTCTAAATAATATTTTAAAATTTTAAAATTTTTAAGAGTTGATACCTTTTAAGATTTTCAAATTTGGAAAAATTTGCGAAATCTTATAGGGTGGAGGTGGGATTTGAATACCTAAGCTCTTTAAAAATCTTAACAAATCTAAATTGAATGCACCAGGATTTATAAAGTCTTAAAAATCTTTCGAAAACCCAATTAAATACACATAATCATGAGTTATAAATAATAATAACGATAGAATAAATAAATAAATAAATGACATAAATAAATGACAATCAACCATTCATAAACTATGAAGAGTTAGTATTTGTTATAGTTATAATAAATAAATCGCAAAGAATAAATAGAGATTTGTAGTTGAATGAAGTAATTTTTTTCTAAATTTTTAAATGCAATGTTTATGCTTATATAAATTGAAGACTATTAATAAGCTAACCAAATGGGAGTTTTTATGTGAACAATTGTGCTAAATTCATCTTATAAAAACAACACAGTCTAACCTTATTATTAACTGATACATGTATCGCGATATTGTTCATATCTTAAGAGTAGACATCACAAATATAGCGCAATATTGGAACGAGTTTTTTGCACAACTCTAAAGTAGAGTAGCATTGTAGAACAACATTAGACTTGCTCTTAATACTCACCACTAGGGCTGCACACGAATCGAGCAACTCGCAAGTCGCTCGAGTCAAAGATCGACTCGAACACGAACTCGAGCTTATATTTTGCATTGTCGAGCGGCTTGCGAACGGCTCAAGGTATATGTTAAATTACTAAAATTCCCTTGTGAATATATTTATGTATCATAATGTTAATGTACGTACTTAATGGTAATTTTACAAAATAACTCGAAAAATTTGAACCTAACTTGAGCTGAGCTCGAGCTATTGTATTTTTTTTATCGAATCGAGCTCGAGCCTTATAAATCGAGTTCGAGTAGCTAAAAAAATTAATCATACTCAATAAAGTCAATGCTCAATTCGACTCGACTCATTTACAACCCCAATCACCGATGCCCTTCTATTGAACTCCTCAAATTTGAAGCACTTTTGTTGCGTTCAACCCCACCCCACCATTCTAGAAGAAACATAGGGTAGTTTATTTATTTAAAAAAAAAA